TTTTGGGCATCTCGTTTGAATCACTTTTTTTTAATTTGCATAAAACTGTGCATATGTGTTTTGTTAAAATACTACAAATGTATTGTTGTATCTCGACAAGTTTGAATAAATTATCCATAAGAGTTATAAATGTTTTTTTTTCAGTAAGCCATTATGCAATTATGTCAAATTGCATGAAGAATGACCGAAAAGTAAAGGCTAACTCCCTTAATATTTTTTTGAAAAAAGTTAAGGCTATAACCCCTTTACTTTTTCACCATTTTTGGTCACTTTTTGAAAAATTAAAAAAGTGGCCAAAAAGTTAGGGGGTTAGCATTGGCTTAACCCTTTTTAGCTTGGCCACTTTTTGAAAAAGTAAAAAAACCGCTGAAAATGGCTTGAAAGTAAAGGCTAACCTTTAATATTTTTTTGGAAAAAAGGTAAGACTGAACTAACAGTTGAAGGCTTTTTGTATTCTTGCATCATCACATTTAAAAGCCATCATTCAAAACGCTGCGCGACGTTGTTTAATTTTCCTTCGATTATGGAATTTATTTTTAATTTTATTCTTCCTATATAGTGATGTGGATATACCAGAAGAATTGGAGTCCACAATATTTCATGTGAGTTTGTACACTTTTACCTAACAAACGTAGTCAATGATGATAGCAGTATGCTTGTTACCCCCTGAGTTTCAGCAACATTTCTAGAACATTTTTTTCCCACGGTTCATAATAATTGTTTTGATGGAAGAAAAGGTTTTTGACTGTTCCCAAAACGTTTGAAGTGGTTTGAGGCAAAGTTTGAATTTTTTAAAAATATGTTGAAAACTATAGAGTGGGTGCCTGTGGTCTTCCTTACGGATTTACGGTTGAGAATTGTGATTTTTTTAAAACTTTTTGAAACATTGTATTTTACAGTATCAACCCCCCCAAATAAATTATTGTTTTGACACAAAAAGGTGTATAAATAGTTTGAAGCGACATATGAACTTTTGGAAAATCAGTTGAAAACCAAAACGGGGACCACAGTGCCCCTTGATTACCTTTTGCAATTGAGCACATTTTTCAGATTTTTACATCCACGTTTGTGTTTGCCTGTCAGCATGATAACATAAAAAAACTATCAAACGTATTAATACGAAAGTAAATTTTGTGGGACTAATATAGACATTGCCCAAGAACAAATTGATTAAATTTTGGTTAAATTTAGATGAAAATTGCATGAGAAATGAGCAAAAGTTTGTCTTGTTTTGCCTGGCAGAGTTAACAGAATGCGTATAATTTATGCTTGAATGTAAAATTTTGCTCAGATGTCGTCAAGGGCCAGAGCCGCCCAGAGGTTGCCTCAAGAAACCCTTTGGTGAACCACTGATTCTCCAAAAGTTGAAATTTCGCCTCAAACTACTGTACTCCAAATGTTTTGGGAATAGTAAATTTTCTTTCATCAAATAATTCTCTTTGACAGATAAATACCTCCGCAACCGAATTAAATTTATGTTATAATAGTTTTGTTTGTGGAAACATCACGTAAATTTATTACTGCAAAGCTTTCGATCCGTAAGCCTGGATCTTCATGATGAAGATGCGGGCTTACGGATCGAAAGTTTTGCAGTAATAAATTTACGTGGTATTTCTACAAACAAAACTATTATATGTTTTATCGCCATGCAAACATACAAAGAACTTAAGTTTATGTTGTTAATGTACATTTGTTTTACGTCTAGGGTGATTTATTTGAGTTCCTGGCTCGTCATGATGAAATAATTGCAGCGATTAAAGAAAAGAGAGATGCATGTATGAAGGATTTAGCGAGGTTGGAACAGGAACTACAACAGCAAAATGATTGAATTGAGGTATGCTTCTTCCGTTCTACCGTCCGTTTACATGAACGGCTCGCTTTCAACGTACAGTATATGAACGGGCTTTGCGATTTATTGGTGGGGACAATTAAGGCAATTACGGTAGAATTAAGTGAGAAAATAATCCTACCAGAGTTAGTGCTGGATAATATGTAAACATATTTATATAACGTCTTCTTTTTAAAAAATTTGTAAAATAATGCGACTCCCCCTCTCAAAAATCAAAAATCTAAATAAAATTTATATAAAATATGCAATAAAGTGTAATATATTCTCCCGTTTTTCAATTATGACGTCACAGGGCCCGGGCCCCGCGCAACCTCTCGGCGGCCCTGGCCAGTAATGATATCTTTTGCACCCATAGATATCTTATATACACTAGATAGTGCATCTTTTTTAGTAAAATTGAAGCCAAGACTATTCCAGCGGTTACCATGTTGGTCGTTCCCACTTGCATTAACAATCAACTATAACTTTCATCATTTGAATAGTTTAAAAATATATTTGGAATAGGGTTAACTTAATTTTTAAGTTCCCTGTTTAAGAAATAGAAAACATACGAATCTTCCCATTTTATGGGAACGACCTGAGACTGCAATCACGGCTTCAATTTTTGAATTGCAGAATAATTAGATGCACTATCTAGTGTATATAAGATATTTATGATTGCACCTGTAAACTATACCGTGAACGAAAAGAACTATAAACACACAATATATTTGAATTTGAATTTATTGACATTCCCTAAAATGTGCTTTTCAATGACAATTTACATAAATTAAAAAAATTTATCAATTATATTTACAACAATCTTATCATTAATGATTAATCAATACAATTACGTAAACTAAAGTTATACTTTATATTATAGTTTATACGTTAAAAAAACAACAACGCTTTTAAATAAAAAATTCTTAAGTTTCGTCTTAAAATAGTTCAAATCACTAATTGATTTTAGCTCTGTATCTAGACCATTCCATATCTTAGTCCCTCGGTATTTGAACGATCTTTGACCGATCGATGTCCTAAATTTTGGAATATCCAGGTCTCCATTTCTTCTAGTATCTCGGTTATGAATTCTGTTTCGTTGTTCAAAATTGTCACATAAATACTGTGGAGCTTTTTCATTGAAGCATTTAAATGTTAATAACGCACCTCTGTACAATAGATGTTCTTTGATTGACAACCACCCTAAGGGGTTTAATGTCGGGGATATATGATCATACTAAGGCACTCCTGTGATTAATCGGGCTGCTCAATTTTGGATTAATTCAATCTTTTTATATTGCTGTCTAACGTATTGGACCATGCATATTGGATCACAATAAAACAAGTTGGCTAACATATTATTAACTGTAATGTAAATACTGTAATGTAATTATCGTCTATAAAATATCGGCTTGTCTCAAAATTTAGAAATATTTCTTCAGAGATCTTCTCTGGATCGATAGGAGTTTACTGCTCAGCTCTGAAGTTTTGAAATAAACAGACATGCAGAAATACATAAACTAAAACAGCAGGTTAAATTTTAACCCAGGGTTAGCGCTAATCCAGCTTTGAACAACCGGCCCCAGGTCTGTATAAAACACAGCAAACGGGTAATTTGTATGGACGAGACTGCGGAAAGAAAAGATGGTTTGTCTGATCATTATAAATGCGATATTACAGCAAAGCAAACGTAGGTTGTCTGTCAAGACAAAAAAAAACAACCTGCGTAGTTTGTTTTTACAAACAAACTTGTGTGTGCTCCCCCTATGTCCGCCAGTGGTCATATTTTCTTTTTTACAAGATTGAAGAATAACATTTATAAGAATATTGACATTTTTTTGTGTTGGTGTAATGTATTCAGGTGAATATGATGCTTGTGATGTTACTCTGAGTGTATATCTATACCGGGCAAGCTTGAAAAATATGCCTGGCCACGGTGGGAATCGAACCTACGACCTTTGGAATACTAGCCCAATGCTCTGCCAACTGAGCTACGCGGTCAGGTCGGTTCGAGTATGTGATATTTCGGAACCGAGTCTAGTTCCTTCGATATCAGTGTAATCTAGTAATAATGATATTTTTCTGTGTTGGTATAATGTACTCGGGTGAATATCATGCTTGTGATGTTACTCTGGGCTATAGTATTCCAAAGGTAGTAGGTTTGATTCCCACCGTGGCCCGGCATATTTTTCAAGCTTGCCCGGTGTGGATATACACTCAATCTCAGAGAACATCACAACTCACAAGCATCAAGAATATTGACATATAGCGTTACAGTCTAAAGATGTTCTTTAAAAATCTCAGCCTTAACTATAGAGTTAAGGCTGAGATTTTTAAAGAACATCTTTAGACTGTAACGCTATTTGTGATTCTCAATGTAAGAAGTTCAAAATGCTAATTCTTGAATTTCACTCTCGTACTCTTCAAGATACAAATAACCACCAAAAGTACACACATTTTAAGCCTAAATTTTTCACTCGGATCCAACCTGGGCTTGAAATTTCGTATTAGGTGGATTGCAATCAATCTCTTGGAAGTTATAAAATAAATTTTAAAACGGTAGCCATGTTAATTGGTGCTAAATTCAATGAAGTATACTTTTGGACCTCTCTTTAAAGAATTTTACGCTTTTACGTAATATTTGAAAATATTCGAAAATTCAGTCAAATTATAGCTGTTATATGTACAAAAAGCTGTTATATGTACTGACCGCGTAACTCAGTTGGCAGAGCATTGGGCTAGTATTTCAAAGGTCGTAGGTTCGATTCCTACCGTGGCCAGACATATTTTTCAAGCTCGCCCGGTGTGGATAACACAGAAAAAATCGGGTATATGTTTATAAATATGGTATTAGACAATCAGGAAAATATCAAACATGATTTGCTTGCAATTTTGGCTTGAACACATAATAGTCTCTAATCGGAATAATCATTTGATTGCATTTCTTCCTCCATTGTCGACATTACAGTATCTCTCGGCCAGATCAGCCCTACCTACTGTCATATCTTCGAGCGCCCTTTTCAGGTTCTCAAGTGTTGCTTGTCTAGGATTACACTTTGCCCAATTGTTAAGCATCTGGTAACTTTTCTCACCAACTTTTGGATTGTTCTCGTCGATGCTTGTCAGTTGCCAGTCTTTGAGTCCTAAGGCTCGCCCCAATTCCTTCCACTCACCCACGACCTCACAAGCCAAGCGGGATAAGTCAGCAGGATTAACATACCCCTCCCTCCCTTTGTATGTTCGAAATACGGCGTCTACCGTGCCACTAGTGATGTTTGGACAATCACCTAAAAATTTAAAAGATTTTCAGTAAGATTTTCAAAAGCGTGTTCAAAATCTTAATATTATATACTGTACTGTAGCTCAGTTGGTTACAGCGCTGCACCTGGAATCGCAGGGCCGCATGCTCGATTCCTGCCGGGACCGACAGTTGCATTTTTCGCAGCTGTTCCTGGTTAGGTTAAATAAATGTATATAAATTTCCACTCGATAATTTCCATCTACAAAACCCTTTCTCTATTATCAACACTACCAGTTCGTGTGAAAATGAAGTCCAAAACCAAAAAATCGTGTTCAAATCTTAACTTGTCATCAATTTCCGAAGGTTGTAGACATGCAACTTTTTTGAGCGTATTGCAACACATTTTTAGTGCAAAGTTGCTTTGCACTATTGTTATGAGGTTAAATTCACATCAGTGACCGATCGATCGATCTATAGAGTAAACAATCCGGGGGGAGCTTGCAAATTATTTTTATTACCTTTTCTACTAAGAGCTTCGCGATGTTCGCATTGTTCGGCCAACTAATCGTTCATAGCTGTTTGTAGATTATAACAATCTATATTTATATTCATGATGGTACATGTTCTTACTTATTTATCTGACATTTAGAGAAGTTATAACAGTTAGGCTATAACCAAATTACTGTTGCATTTCAAGCACTTGTTATTATATGATATGCCCCCCTGTAACATAAATACACGTGCATCATACACGTGCTTTCATATGTTATTATTTTAGAATAGTGATGGCGATACTAGCTTTTTTGGTTCCGGTACGATACCAGTCCGATACCATGAATTTTGGTCGATACCGATACCAAAATCGATACCGATACTCAATTTTTTCCATTTATTAAAATAACTTTTAAAACACAAACATTAATGTTTAAAACAAGTCAAAGAATACTCTAACTGGAGTACCTGCCAAATAATCGAACATAACATTTGCAATTATGATTTTAAATCAAAACAACAATGTTTTCCTCAAATATATTGGGCCTTCAGTCTGTTGCCTTGAAGCATTAAGTGATTGGTCAGGAATACTGACCAAAAACATCGCAGGCTCAAGTGGTATCGAATTACCGATACTTTTTGCGAGTATCGAAAGTATCGATACTTTTGTAAGTATCGATGATTTCGATACTTTTTCGATACTATCGCCCATCACTATTTTAGAATGGCGGACATGGCGAGCGGTGACTATTGAGCGGCGGTGTGAAATCGTGTAGACTAGAGTGTATTACATCTGAGGTTGATAGTATTATAGCACAGTGGTTTAATATCTATGAAAGATACGGAGCGATGTATGCATGAATAAGTGCCAATG